GGCAGTGTTGCCATGGAGGGCACCGAGCATGAGTGTTGGAAAGCTGTCATGGGGACCAGCGTCTCTCCCAATCACGGGGAGCTCTGTGGTGGCAAAGGTCTAGGCTGGGCGCTGACACAGCCCAATGGGATGGGGCAGGCAGATGGGATTCGGGGACCTCTAGGAGCAGGGCGAGGAGAGGCCCTGCCGTGCAGGGTGACGGGTGAGGGCCCCATGGTCCGCTTGCCCAGTGCCCAAGGCTCCTCTCGGGAGCTGCTGGGTGGCGCCCAAGCGGTTCTTTTTGTGTTCGTAACCATGTGCAGAGCAAGGCAGACCACCGGGCCCCAGGCCGCCCGGTGCTCGTTTCTCAGTGGCCCGGGTGTGCTCTGAAGTCTTGGGCCGGCGGTGGGGCCAGCACCTAACCCGCTCACCTGCACGTGCTGACACACTTTGGGCGTCTGCCTGCTGGATGCAGGACGCAGACAGGAAAGAGCATGTGCTGCTGCATGAGCACCTGAGGCCTGTGAGCCCAAAGGAGAAGCTGAGTCTCCGTGATGCAGTTCAAGTCCATGGTCCTCGTTTGGTCCGTCCAGCCCTTAACCCACCCTTTCCCCTCCTGGTCCTGGAGGCTGGACGTCTGAGGCCAGCGTGTCACAAGGCTGGTTCCTCCTGAGGACTCTCGCCCAGTGTGTAGATGGCTGTCTGCTCCCTGTGTCCTCACGTGGCTCTCAGCTGTGCATCGAAGTCCCAGTCTCCTACTCCTAACGGACACCAACCAGACTGGACAGCCCACTGGCCTCGTCTTATGCTTGTCCCCTCTGTAAAGACCCATCTCTGGCACCACCACGTCCTGTGGTCCTGGGGGCCAGGACCCCAGCATGTGGGTGTTGGGGGGCACAGCTCTGCCCCTCATAGCTGCTCATTGGTGCCACAAGCCAGATGTGGCTGCAGATGCAGGAGGCACCTAAGGTGCCTGGGATGCATGGGAAAGCAGTGCTGGATGAGGCTCCTGGCAGGTGAGCGCCCTGCCACCCCCCACGTGGCTGCTCGCACCCAGAGCTCCAGGCACCCCTGCACGCGTGGATGCACATGGCTCTGGTGGCCGGGACTCTGTGCAACCAGTCGACCCAGGTCCAGCTGGGTCCTCAGTGTTGGCAGGCTGGTTCCTCACCCCGACTCCCCTCTGAAGGCCAGGCCTGAGGTGCAGCTGGGTTTGCAAACACCCACACCAGCCTGCCAAGCAGAGGGGCTTAGTGAGGGCAAGGAGCCCACCTTTCCAGCACGCGGTTCTGTCCAAGCCCTGCAGGGGGTGCTGTGTGCACGGGACGTGTCCGTGGGTGCATGGCGGCAGGGTCCCCTGTCCTAGACGGCTTTATCCTTCTGTTCTTCAGTGGGGAAGCACGGCTGTCTGGTGGGCCATCGGGAGGGACACTGGGTGTGGGCGAGGTTGGTGGGCAAGGCTAACAGACCCTCGTTTGTGGCCTTGGTGGGGGACCGAAGCTCTCAGCTATCCCAGCCTGCGGCAGAGCCCCCTAGTCCTGGACACAAGTCCGCAGCCCGAGGGCTGACTGTGCGCCCCTCCCACAGGCTGTGTGGGGCAACCCCAGCCTTTGGAGACCCGGAGCTGGCGCCATGCAGGAATCACGTCCTGTGCGGGTACCGCTCACCGCCCCCCCCCCCGGGTGTTCTGGGGTTCAGAGCTCAACGAGAAGAAAGCAGCTGCAGCCTCAGGGATCGGATTCTTACCAACGTCACTAATCCAGTTGGTTTTGCCAATTAGACACACACACAGGATAAAGGAATCAGAAGGAAATATATTTGCTTGTGATTTAATTGCTGTTATTATTATAAAACGCTGCTTATCAACTGATTCATTTTGGGAAATGTAATGGATCAGATGATTGTATTTTTCCTTTTATTTCCTCAGGATGAAAGTCATATGTTGCTATACAGGGTTTACATTATGGTAAATAACAATAATTAATAAGTAGCAGTACAAGAATAAACTCCACGTTGCACACACTCACAGCTGTGAACCTGGACCTCCTGTCCACCCTCGACTCTCAGTGGCCGAGGAGCACTCACACCCTCTGGGGCCGACGTTCCAGTGACGGGCTCACGCCTTCCTCTCTCCACTGCGTGTGTCCTGGGCGGCCCTGTCATGCTTTTCTCAGTGACTCAGAGAGCAGCCTCCTGTGGTGACGGCCACTGCTGCCGAAGGGGGGGCCTCGTCTGAAGTCCCCAGCTTCTGCGGGCTGGCATGCAGCACCGACCCACGTGGGCCTAGGACGGCACAGCCCCTTGGTGTGACCCATCCCCTCCCGCAGGACCCATGTCCCAGGACCCGGTCAGCAGCGCAGACTCACCTGTGTCCAGGCTGTGGGCCCCCAGGGCCCATTCTGCAGAGGCCAGGGTGCCAGGGCCTTTCGGGGAGAGAGGACTGAGGCGCCCAGACTGATGGGAGGCTCTGGGATGTGGACAGGCGAGGACTCCTGCGTTTGGGGCAGGAGGAGAGGCTTTTGTATCCCTGGGCACGGTCTATGGTCAGGTGTCCCAAGGGACCACGAGGACAGGGGCTCACGCTCATCAGCATCCTGGAGCCCAGAAACTCGCCCTTGGTTACGCTTCTTGCTGCCTCTTTAAGCAGCTCTTTGGAAAGTAATTTTCAGTGCAAGGAACAAAAAGTAGGAAAATATCCATGTCATTGCTCACACACTTCCTTTGACCTCTGGACGCAGAATCATCAGGACTTGGCCATTGCCAAGGCCATCTTTATGGCAGGGACAAGCTTCCAGTAAGTTCTTTCAGAACTCCGGGGGGAGCCAAGAGGGCCTGGGAGCAGGGGAGAGGAGGGAAAGGTGATGGTGGCGGGGGGTGGTCTTTCCCAGCCCCTCCCCAACCCGCAGCCCTGGGATGGCTGCTTTCCCTCAGCGAAATTGGTGTGAGACTTTTGTTTTCGGATTTGAGGTATTTTTGGATGGTAAGAATGGAAAAAATGTGCTTTCCCTCCTTCGGATAATTGCTGTGTGCCCTGTTTTTGTTTGAATTCTTGGAAATGCACAGTTGCGGCCTATGAGGTGGGGGGCCTGGCCCTGAAAGCTCCCACTCTGGGGCGGCATCTGCGCTTGGGGGACTGCGGGGCGGGGGGCCGCCGCTCGGGCTGGCATCAGTGTGCCTTCTCCCTTCTGGGCACATTCGGGGTTTGAGGACACGCACTGTGAGCACTGGCGTCCAAGATGCCGCCATCCCAGAGATGAGGGTGCAGTGGGGCCCAGCCAGCCCGGCAGGGGACAGCAGGGAGGTAGGACCGGCTGGCAGCGGGTGAGCGAATGAAGGGTGGGGATTTTAGGAGAGGCTGCTCAGCTTTCGAGCCGTGAGATCTTGAGCAAACTCATCAATTTAACACCTGGCGAAGCTCAAGGGCACTTGGTCATTCAGCCCGAGAGGACCCAGCCCCTGTGGTGGTCTCTGCCACACCAGACGGGCTGACGCTGTGGGCTTGGGGTCCACAGGTCCCCTCCCTAGTGCGAGAGGTGTTTCACCACAGAAGCAAGTCAGTCCAGGGTCGGTGGGCAGTGCAGGGCAGCTCCACAGAAGGCCCAAGAGCTTGCCGGCCGGACAGTCCTAGGTCCTTGGGTCCTGCTGCTGCCTAGGGAGGGGCTCTGGGCTAGTCGCCTAGGGTTCTGAGTGTTTCCCTGCCAATAAAGAGGGGACAGAAAAAGTACCAGCCTTACCCCCACTGAGGGGTCGGCAGGCTGTGGCTCCCCGAGGCTCCCTCCTGGGACTTCCTGCCTCCTTGGTGGCCTCTGTCTGCCGGCAAGCTGTCTGTCTGCAGGCCAGGCCTGCAGCCTGGGGCTCCGGAAGCCTTCGCCTCAGGGAATGAATGACCAGCCCAGGCAGGGGAGGAGCCGGTCGAAGATAACGCTACCCCGTGCTGGCAGGGCGCCCCCTGTCTCCCCAAAGGGGCCTTGCAGGGGCCTAGCGGAAGCTGAGCAGGCCTGGGCCAAGCTGCTGTGGGAGGACCCCCAGGCCCTGTGTGGAAACACGTCCTTTGGCTGTGGCTTGGTGGCTCCCGTTCTTCGCTGCTCCTGACAGCCCCTCTCCCTGCAGGGGCGGCACCACAGGGTCAGACCCCAAGGGCCGGGGTGGGTTGGGTGCTGCTTCCCTGCACTGGGGCTAGTCATGGTTGAACAATCCAGGCCCCTCATCTCCTTGGGGGGGGGGGCTCTGTCCAGGCGGCAGCCGCAGACCTGGCTCTGGTCTGCAGGGGGGAGGGTGCCATGCTTTCCTGCAGACACCTTCCTTGTGACCCAGGGGTGTCCTTGGAGCTTCGGGCGTCCACAGGTGTCGGCAAAGCTGCTCTTTGAGTAGGAGGGAGAGCAGGTCTCCTTCTGCAGGGGGTCTTCGAGAGTGTGCTGCCCTCTACCCAGATTTTGGGAGTGGGGAAACCCGGCTGAGGTGAGTGGGGGTCTCTGGGTCTCGGGGGGCCGCTGCATCCCCTGCCTCTCCTCAGAGCATCCATCTGTCAGGGAGCTTCCTCCCCATCTGTTCCCGACCTGAATCCTGCTCACTTCACTGAGCCAGGTGACCTCTGAAGTCCTGCCCTGCCTCCCTCCCTCAGGGGGGCGGGACACCTGCGGGACTCCTAAGCATCTTGGGCTGTCCTGGTCCTGCTGTGTCCTGTGTGCAAGGCCTTGACCGGACTAGAAGCTGCAGGCGGGCAGGGAGGATTCACTCCCTGAGAGTGCAAGCAGCACAGGAAGGAAAGGAGGCAGGCAGGCAGGAAAGGAGGGAGGGAGGAAGGAAGGGAGGAAGGGAGGGAGGGAGGGAGAGAGTTGTGTAGAAACCAGGACTGGCCCGCCCACCCGGACGCAGCCCGGTGAACACCTGGAGCCCGGCTGCTCCATGGGTCTGCTAGTCCCCCGTCCACCTGGCCACCGCGGGGAGGCCCCAGGGGCCCACGGGGCCTCGGCCCGTCCGAAACGGCCGCATTGTTAGGGCGGCGAGGCCAGGTGACCGGCCGGCCCGGCGCGGGCGGCGCGATTGCCCTTCGCCGCCTCGAGGGGGCCCTGCGGCGGCCGCGAGCCAGGAGGACGGCCCGCCCGCGCGCTGCTCCGCGCCCAGCTTGCTGCGCCATCGCCCCGCCGGACCGCGCCGCCGCTCGCCCAGGTACTGGGCGGGGAGTGGGGGCGCGAAGCTGCCGCCGCCTTTGTTTCGGGTCCCGCTCCGGCGTCTGCGCCTCGGGCGCGGAGAGCGAGATCGGGGAGGGCGATACTGGCGCCCGGGAACCGGGCTCGGCCGGGGTTCGGGGACGGGGGTTCGGGGAGAGGGTCCGGGGGCGCGGGAAGGGGGATCCGGGCGCGCAGGAACTTTGCTTGGCCAGGGTTGGGCTCTGGGGCGCCCGCCGGAGCGGCCAGGGGAGGAGATCAGGGGACGCGATCCGGGTCTCGGGCGCAGGCCAGAGCCGCACTGTCGCGCGCGCCGGGGTGGACTTCACTCTCCTGGTCGGTCCCGAGACCGCAGGGCGGCGGTCGGAGCTGGGGCCGCCCCCCGGAGAACTGGGCACCCTCTCCTACTCGGTGCCAGCAGTCTCCGGGGAGCGTCTGTCCTCCCCTTTCCCTGTGGGGGGCGTGAGGCAGGGTCCCGCTACTGCCCGCCTTCTGGGGCCGCGTGAGCGGGCGGGGGCCGCCGGGCCACCTGTGGCATGCGTCTGTCCGCGCCGCTGACAAGCGGGCGGAAGGGACACGGGGTCCCGGGCACCCGTGCGGACGCCCGAGCCGGCTCCTTTGCTGGAAGTGACTTGAAAGTCCGTGTGCGTGGCGGGAAGGGCGGGAGCCCCCTCCGTTCCCGAGTCAGGGCAAACGGGGACCCCCGCTCTCTAACATGGGCGAACGTAAAAGCGAGGGGGCCATTTGGAACACCTCCAGGGGAAGTGTGACTGCGCCAGAGGAGCCCCCAGACCCAGGGTGCCCAACCCTGCACTGGCTTTGACCTTCTGGCAGAGTTTTGCCTGTGTGTTTCACTCCCTGTAACATGAAGGCAAGACCTCTCCCAGGACTTGAAGTGAACTGAAACGTGCGTGTGACAGAGGGAACGCACTGGCACTGCATGCCCTCCAGAGCAGGCTTCTGCGACACTTCGGTGCACTTCCCCAGAGGCAGGCTTCAGTCTGTGAATATTCCTCTTGCAGGGCCCTGGCTTCTGCCTTTGGAACTAGATTTGCTTCTCCTTGCGGTTTCCCTTCCCTCTTTGGGCCCTGGGAGGTCGAATTTGCAAATCAATCAACAACTATTGAGAAAGGCATTTCTGTGAGTGGCCTGCTGGGCTGGGCTGGGCTGGGCTGGCCTGGCCAGGCATGGGCAGGTGCCCAGACCCCTGACCTCAAAGATGTCACAGTAACCTTGCTCTGTGACAGTGAAAGTTGGGGCCTCAGACACAAACCAGGAGCTTGGAATAACCCGACCTGGGCTTGTGGGGGGTGGGTCTGACCCAGCGCTCTGCCTGCACGTTCATTTCACCCAAACAACAACCACAGGGGGGTAGTTCAGGTTAAGACCCAGTTTACAGATGTGCAGACTGACACAAAGGATGAGAGGTAGCAGGCGGAGTGGATGAAGCCCGGGGTGCTGCCCCCAGGGTGGGGACCGTGAGTCCTGAGGCCACCCCTGTTGGGCTGCAGCAGATCCTGTGCTCGCAGAAAGTGCCTGTCTGAGGGAGGTGGAGGGGTGGAGCTGGGGAAGCCACGCAGGAATCCCTCCTTTGCAAACTGCCAGCAGAGAGGGAAGCTCAGCCTCAGGGGATCTCTTGCTCACCAATGCAAATGGATGGACTCTCCCTAAGTAGCTTTGGCACCTCAGGGTTTCAAATGGAGCCACTTGCAAATGTGACCCTAGCAACTAGAGATCACAGGAGTCAAAGTCTGTTCCTGGACTGCAGGCCTTGTTAGGGGTGGGGGCACGGAAGGCCTGGGGAGGGGGTGAGAAGCCAGACAGGTGAAGGGAGAGGCCAAGATGGGGGGATTTCTGACCCTGTGCTGGTGAAAACCTGTGTTACAGATGAGGGACCAGCAAGGGAGTGGCTGCACCAGCCCTCGGCCACCCTCCAGGCTCAGATGGGCACACACCACCAGGGCTTGCGGGGGGGGGGGGGGGGGCAGTTTTGTCCCCTCCCTTCCTGCCCCTGCCCAAGAACTCCTAGGTAGGGGAGGCACAGGGCTCTCCTGCCAGAGAACCGGCAGAGAGTCCCTGGGGAGAGAGGCTTTCTGGGGCCATGAGAGCCCAGTTTGTGGCTGGGACTGCTCAAGCAGCAGGAGCTGCGTGGGTGGGAAGGCGTACAGGGGGAGCGGCATCCCTTTCCTGCAGGACGTCCTGGTGAGGGGGAGCCAGGCCCACCCACTGGGGCCCTCTGCGGCTGCTGTGTTGATCCAGAAGAAGGGGTTCTGGTCAGGTGGTTGAGTGAGTAGGTGCCTGGCTAACTGTGCGCCGTGGTGCAGAACCTGTCTCGGGCGTCCTCTCAGGTCTGTGCGCTGTGCCAGCTGCTGAGGTGTGGGCATTTCTGTCAGCCTTGAGTGGGGAGAGGTATGGCCCTTCATCCTGGGGACGCACGCGGGATTGGGGTTTGCACCGGCCTGCCGCTCCAAAAGGGCCTTCATTTCCGCTCCAGCATGGCTGTAACAACCACCGCCCCAAAACGCAGCCACTGCCCGCGGGAAGGGGGGTGCCAACTTCTCCAGGCGCACAGGCTTGGTGCCTCCTGCCCTGTTGTGTCCTCAGAACAGGCCGGTGCCGCTGGCGAGCTCTGGGCAGTGGTGGTGACATCCTGCTCTCTGCCCCACTCCTGTCTTCACAGAACACGAGAATCCACGGGACAGTGTTCCGCATGCAGGGACTGTGTTCCGAGAGCGCCCCGTAGCAGGGACAGCTCCGGGCTCTGAGAGGAGCGTCCCAGTGCGCTCCAGGACACAGCCCCGCCCAGCATTCCCTGCCTGGTGTCCCAGACGCCCACTCGAGCTGCCCCTGCTGGGTGGGAGGGAGGAGGCCAGCGAAGGCAGGTAGGTGGCCACTGTGAGGAGCCATCAGTGTCACTGAGGGGTTGGCTGATGGCCATCATGATGACCCCGAGACGTTTAAAAAGAGTTATGTTAATTAAAAAGAAAGAAGGCAGTGGCCTGGAAATAATGTATTTTGTTCCAAATGGGCTAAATAATGAAAAACCCGCATTTAAGGGGCCTCTGTCAGTGGTCACGGACACCCCGTCGGTGGATTAGCTCCCAGCTATGGAGGAGCAGATGTGCTCTTCAGAGCCCCCTCGCTCCGGGAGGCAGACCTTCGCTTTGACATGCCCGTCCCCAGGGTAGGAGTGAGCAGTAGGATCTCCCCAGCTCCCAGCCCACTGGCCTTGCAGGAGTCACGCCTTCTTTTGACTAGGGGGCTACAGTGGCCAGTCCGCTCCCTGAGCTTCCACGACGTGGCTTTGTCTCTTTCCTGTCTGGGCTCTGAGATGCCCAGAGCCGAAACAGCTGCTCTGTCACAGGCTGGTGGGCCTGGGTCCACAGGGGGTGAGCACCCCTAAGTTTCTAGGAGCTCGCGTCTGCAAGCAGGAGTGGGGTCCCATTTGGAACTCAGGTCCCTGTGCAGTGATGGGGCTTCTTCCCAAGATCAGGGGTCTCCAAGGTCCTCCCACCAACCCGCCCCTTTCTGGGCATGCAGGCCAGTCTCAGGGAAGCCACAAAAGCCACAGCTGGCCAGGGTTCCAGTCACAGCTGCTTCCTGGAGGCAGGGCCCTTGCCTTTCTGTAAGGCCCCCCTTCCTTCCTCCCTCAGCTCTAATTCTGGCTCTGATTCTGGCACGCGGTCACGGCCTGCCTTCCTCTTCCTCTTCTCCTGGAAGAGAGAACAGCGCTCCATGCGCCCTCTGCAGTGGCCTGGCATTCAGGCCTGGAAGGTGTCTATAGGCGCCTCCTGCAGGGGCCACACCTCCATCCCTTGCATCTCCGCGCCCGTGGGTGTGGACGTCCTGAACCAGGTCACGAGCGATGGGACCTGGTCTGTGAGGCCTGGGAGACACAAGAGTGGACTGGTTCCAGTGTAACGGAGAGAGGCACGTGGTCCTGAGTAATGGCAGAGACGCAGGCCGCTGTGCAGCCTGCACTGGCCGTCCTATCACCGGTGGGGGGCCCAGGGATTTTCTCCCCCACAGCTCTGGACACACCTGCGGGGTGTCTTCACACTCTCTGCAGCTGTGGGCACAGGGGGCAGGCCCACAACTGGCTGTGCGTCGCCCAGCGGCCGAGCCCGGCTGTTTGCGGGGGCGCCAGCACACACACATTCCTCCTGGAGCCCGGGAACAAAAGGGCCCCATTGACTGGGCCCTGGCACCCTCCCCGCCTGTAATCCATCACCCCTCGCCAGGCTTCCGAGCGCCCAGCCCTCACCACGGGCGATGCTGGAGCCAGATCAAAGGTGCCGTTCAGGCAGCGAATGGGAGGGAACAGCAGGGCCCCAGAGGCCACAGACCTGGGGGAGAGCCACCCTTGGTCATTGCCCTGACTGTCCTGGATGTTCCCCACCTGCAGGGGGTGCATCAGAGGGGGATGGCGGGGAGACAGGGCTGGCTCCCAGCGACTCACACCAGGGCTCCCTGTGGGCTGTGGTTCTGTGTGATGGGGGTGCTGGGTGGGCTTGCAGCTCCAGGGCCACGGCTTGCTGGGTCCTGCTGCATCTCCACAGCCTGGGCTCCTCTTGGAGCGTCACTTCTGTTCTGTCTGGGACCCATGGGCAAGCCTGCAAGACAGCAGGAGGAGGACCTGGGGACAGTGGGCCCGGGCGTGATCCAGGACAGGCATGTCCCCACTTCAGCTGCCCTGGGGTGCCAGAGGTGGCCTTCGTCACCTGCATGGCTGAGGGGCAGCAGAAGATCCTCAGCTAATGGACCCATCTGCGCTTCTCCATTTTCCCCAGAGGGATTCATAATTAAGAGGTGCTCGCTGTAGTCTCGGAAAAGGTAGAGAAACACTCAGGACGCGGCCGAGGTGTCTCCACCTCCCCGCGAAGAGGCTGTGGTGCCACTGCGGCGTGCCGGGCACGAGGTGTGCTTTTGCAGTCGACGAAGCTGAGGTCAGAGGCGTGCCCCTGTGTCCTGCACATTGGCGTCATGTCGGCAGGGCAGTGA